GAGAGAGAGAGAGACCTCTAGATTCAATTTCCCTTTCAGGACACACCGCGACGCGTGATCATTGTTATTATATTCGTCAGGAGCTCCTGTCCGTTCCTCTCCCCTGATTCGCATGTTCGCGATCTTGACCGGAAACATTTCACGGGCCGCGAGGCTACGACGAAAGGCGCGGAGTGGAAATTCTGCAAGTGCAAGTTCACGCTTTCGAGAAGTGGTTCAATAGATTTCGATTGCTTTAATCGCCGCGTCGACGTATATAATCAAGAGGAGAATTGAAACCGCGGCGTTCAGCAAATCGGTCTCGTTTCGACCATACCCGCGTCCGGGAATTTCGCTCAACACCGAGGATTCGCGCGAAACCAGCGCGAGGGGAGGAGAGAGCCGAGTTCAAGCGGTGGCGAGTCTCGCTCGCTCACCTTCTTTCAACGACAGGCAAATAGGAAAGGTGAGCGACTCGCCGCTCGTTTCCCTACGCTGATTCCGCGCTTACCCTCGCTCTGTGATTCAACAGCGGAACGATCGGGAGGGAGGGGGGGGGGGCACACCTGAAATCGCATGAAATCAGAACAGGCGACACCCTTACCACTTGCACGAGACGCTCGAGTGTTCACCCCTTTCCCTTTTCGGAAATCCCGCGAATTCCTTTCTTTTTTTTTCCTCCAGCGTTTCTACACACCGCTCGAGTTTGGACTTTGAGATTGGAGAATAATGTGCCGGCCGTTTCATCGTTGATCGTTCGCGTTCCGCGAATAATGATGACACGTCGAGAAAACTTTCGCTCTCTTTTACTTACAGTCGAGATGCTTCTTCTTGGGTCCGATCATCTCCTCCGTGGTGGCCTTGCAGACAGACTTGGCGAGGCCCTGGCCAGCGATGCTGTGCCTCGCGGCCAGCAGCCTGTCGTTGATCGTCTGTCCCGCCATACTGTCCCGCTGTCACGGTGATAGCAGCAGTCAACAGCAGCAGCAGCTCACGTTCACGATGAAATCGCGTATCCTCCCTCGGCGATCCGTCCGGCGCGGCCGAGTGTCTTTCCTCCCTCGTGCCCCGGTAGAACGAATGACCGCGAAAAGACCGCGTGATCGACGGCAACGATGACAATGACGCGAGGAATTCCGACGGCCGCGAGAAGCGAGTGAAGTTGGCCGTCCTTGACGCGACGCGGACGGACGGACGAGAGCGAGACCGCACGGGGTTCGGCACTCCGGCTAACTTCACCGCACACGACACCACAGCGGCACGAGCACGGCGATGCGACCAGACTGACACGGCACGGCACGGCACGACACGACACGACACGACACGACACGGACGGCAAACGCGACAGCCGAGACCAGGCGCTACCAGCGCGAGGCGTCCGCGACGTTCCGCTCACCCCGATATTATACTTGGCCCGCCGCGCTGCTTTTTCCGGTCTTCCGGCACTTCTCCTCGCGTTCTCGTTCTCCTCCTGCGCTCCAATTCTTCCCTCCTCCGCGTCCGCCGTCTCCGCCTCCTCGGCCGGTTCCTGCGATCGCACGAACGATAACTCGCCGCGATTTCTCCGCGTTCACCAGCAGCGGAGCCAGACAGCTCGCGCTCAGCTTTAACGGCTCAGCTGGACGGCGTTACGTCGGCGGCCGACGGCGACAGCAGGCTCCTTCTATCTGCCAAGATGGCGGCGGCGCTCAGTGCCGACACTGTCTACCGTGCCGACCGCAGCGCTTGCGCCCCACCATCGCTCCGCCGCCATGGGACCGCCCGACCAATCGCGAGCGTCCGCCGCCGACACTCGGCTCCCACTATGACGTCATAGGCAGCGTAACCAAGATTTGAGGGTCGAATCGAAATGTATGACAAAAGGGATGTAAACTCGTTTGAATTAACGGTGTTTTTCCATTTCTAAACAACAAACAATAGATATTTTGTTCGTTGCGAGACAAATGTTTTATTTATCGAATGAAATTATTAAGCGACTTACGAACGATATTCGTAACGTTATTCTAGACTGTTCCGATCATCGATTGAAAACACGCATGTGAAGTTAGTGCTTGTTGAAAGCACTGCTACCAACGTGAATTGTAGTTTTTCTATAAAAATTCAAGAAATTTAGAAATATTTCGAGTTAAATCAAGTTAATCAATTTCAGTATTAATTTCAAAACTATAGTAAAAAATATCGTGATTTAGATAAAAATTTTTATATTATATAATAAATTTCACAATATTGTATTATTTTAATATCTAAATAATAATTATAGTTTAGTATTATCTTTTTAAAAAAGGTAAAACTATTCAAAAAGTGATTACATTCATTTTATTATGCATTCAATGTTTTTTTCATGGCATTTTCTCCTTATCATATTATGATAAGGAGCATTTTCAGTTAATAATTAACGAACCATAATTAGATGATTGAAATAATCGAATGTTGCAACTAGCAACAATTATATTTTTTTATACATGAAAAAAATCATTACGTGCACGGAAGCGATTTATTAGTTCTGTAAAGTTGCAATGTTCGTCAATTCGAAAAACAATATGGTGGACGTATCGAAACAATTACAGTGTAATTTCAGCCGGCAGTAAATCGATTGCAGCACTTATCTTTCTTACATACTCAAATTTTGAGATTTTGATATGCATAAGCAATAAGTTTTTTTCTATTTATTATTACGACTGCAAATAAATCTTCCGTCAAATACAATATCTGACAAATATAAGATATTTAAAATTATACGTGATCGATAAAATTGAACAATGTAAATTGCAATTGACACAATATATAATACATAATTTATTTTTAAACCCGCAAAAAAATATCAATAATTAGAATAATCAAATTTTTACACGCGTATGCTATAACATCGTGAATTTAGTCACCGACCATCGGTCACACAACGCCTTCCGATTACATACTTCCATTTGAAATTATTATTATTCGTTTCAATCAAGATGTGAAGAAGATCTCAATCTCGGGTTAACTTACTTTCTATCTTTACTTAATAAGAATTAAATAAATTGAACCGAGGTTATTAAAATCAATTTGCATTGATAGAAATGAACTGTACGATTACGGTATGGTATCGTCCGAGGGTTCTTCGCGCGGGATTTATATCGATCCCTGGAACCGCGTGATTGGAGCGCCAATCGAGTCCATGGCGCGGAGTGCGGCGGCGCGTCTCAACAACGCACTCGGAGCGCGGTTCAGTCTGATCCGGTTCAGTACGGCAAAGTTGGCCGATAAGAGTGCGTGTGTTCGTTTCGCGGCAGCGATTGTCCAGAACATTCTGCGCGCAAGGGAGACCGAGTCGTCGCGCGAGCTTGACTCACGTCCCGCGTCAATTCCCAACCCTCGCGTTCCAAGATTCTGCGTTTCGCTCTCGGCGCGGTCAGGAGGATGACGACGGTGGTCGACAAGGAGGAGGCGCGGAAGCGCCTGACGCCGTTGCAATGGCATGTGACGCAGGAGAAGGGCACGGAGAGGTGAGGGCACCCGCGAGAAACGCGTGAGGAACAGACGCTCTCTCGAGGACGCGTGTTCGGAGATTCCGCTTCCTCGCGATGACGATCTGTACCGGGCGTCGAAATTCGCCTCGAAGTTTGCCTCGTCATGCCTAACTCAAGGCAGGAGGAACCAACTCAGGAACGAGTACACTCTTCGTTCGGTGCATCAGCTGTCTGCTCGAAGCAGACTAGATTTCCGCTCGCAACCACAGCTTGTTTCCTGTCGTGACGTTTCGGTCTTTAGTCCGAGACACCCGTTGATCCCGCGATAGCTGATCGACAACGTGGAGTTGCGCAACGGCGATAACGCGACGGGCACGGTCGACGAATTATGCTAATTATATTGATGATTTGAACGGATGTTATGCACGTCTGCTCCGTATTTACGCAATCCGCTGGACGGTTCTCACTGCTTGGCACTTAGAAAACGTTTCGATCAAAAATTCTGGACGCTTACTGAAATACATAAAAATATCGTGTTATTGCAACTGAGACGCAACGTGACGTGACGTTCGTCGTGGATTCACGTCGAGAAAGCACGAAGTCACGGTCCCGCGCGTTTAATCTTGAACGAGGAACACACCGAAATAACTTTTTCAAG